ACATTACTCAGAAACTTTTGAAGAGAAATTAAGTTTAATAGGTATGAAAATACAAAATTAAGGAGCTAAGATGTAAGGAGTTATAAATTGGTGTGAGACATTTAACTTTTTGACTTAGGAACACAGTTAAGCCAAGCCTAATAAGCAGGAGCTTTAAATTCTGCTTCAGATATCTGCTCCGTGTAATTTATTCACTTTGATCTGGCAAGCATTGTGGACATCAGGTCGTCTTTGACCAAAAACGATCAATGGTTTGCATAAAGTAATTGTTTATCCTGTCAATCATCTATCATTTGGATTGCCCTAGATCATGCTTATTCGTGACCTAAAGCGATCTCTAGTTTATAAATTGGCATATAATCGACTTGCTTGATGGCAGGATTTACTACTTAGTTGAGTCAGACTGTTCTTAGCTGTAACGCATTCAACCTTCACTGTGCATTACATCCCGCTCCTCATCCTTCATTTTTACACTTTATTTCCTTTTTCTTTATGCCTAACAGACTGCGTCTGCTGTGCAGACTGACAAGAGTTCGCAGTCCTGTCTGCCTCGCTATTCTATGTTGGCCTGTTCCCCTTCTCCCTCATCATTTGGTCACCGGCACTCTACAACTGCTAGTGTCCCCGAGAGCCACTCAACCGCCTCACCTCGGTCGGCTTTCCGACTACTACCTTCTGCATTACGGCCCGGAAATGGGCATCGGTCGTGCAGACGTGACACTTGCCCCGAACAGTCATCTCTTTTAAGACTTCATTGCCGCAAGGCGAAATCGGCAAATATACACTTCCCACTGCCTGGCCCGACTCAATTGGATAGTGGCACCAGTGACACTGGTGAAACAGCTGAGGTCACTAAAACTGTAAGAACTTTAAATGCGACTGTAACATGTCAAGAGCCAGATCCGGAATTTGAGCGTGAACAGGAGCTTGAACCTGAGACAGTTGAACAGGGTCTGAACAGTCTAACCGAAGAACCAATTAAGCCTTGTTCCTTGCTGTTGTCTCGGGCCCATCCTCTAAGCACACAGTCTTTCAAACTGAGTGCCTCCACATCTATCCAGCCTCAACAAGAATGTCAGCCTCTTGTACCAGGTCTACTAGACTCCGAATCCGCAGGCTCTCCGCGCTCCTCCACTTCTTCCTTGTCTCGCTCTTCGTCAAAGCGCATCCGCTTCCGCCTTCGCTCGGCTGGTCTCCGGCTGAAGAGTGCCTTTAAGCGACCTGGACGCCACGATAAAACACGCGAGCTCTCGCCCTGCCTCGATGACTTGAACGATAAAGCGTGACTTCATCGAATGGGGTTTGGCGAAATTCTCGACATCACTTCTACATTAAGTTCTGTATCTTAATATTTATCGGCCCATTCTAGCACCAAATCCCCTTCCTTTTTCGGATCTTGATTTTCATTAAATGAGCATTTCTGGTTGTAGTTGGGTCTGCAGTCCATTCAATGTTTTCCTCATTTATGTTTAAATAAGCTATATATTTATACGCAAACAGTTCTTTTTATTGCTGCTCGGCAGCCAAGTCCATTATTTAGGCCTCGGATTGTTTCCCTACTGTTATACCCAGAATATATTAGGATTCCTATCTTACCCTTACTTTAAGCTCTAAGCAAGCATTCTCATTATAAGTCTTTCATCGGCCACTTGTTTCCCTCTTCGGCGAGCTGCACTGTTCTCGAGGCTGATCGCCGCCTGAGCTGTGAAAACATATTTTGATTTTCACTCGACAGTTGATCCCGGTGGACTAGTCTCCAGCAGACATTCTGGCAGGCGCCAGACTTGGGCTCATGCCATTTCCCTCACTTATTATCTCCTATTCTCCAATGCGACCATCTGATCTATTTGTAACCCCTCTTCATAGCAATCGATTGGTCTCCAAGACATGACCTAGCTCCTGTCTTCAGGAACTCTTCATTTATAAATAGGCGCCTGAGTAAATTGCATTTTGTATTCTGTCCTCGAACAACGATTTTTTGTGAAGCTAATTCCTTCACAAACTTAAATGTTTTTAAGCCATCGTCAAAACTTAATTTGTTTTTAGATCGACGTCATCTTTCATAAATACTTTATTATTGACAAACCATGCTACGCATTTTCTTCATATTGTCCTTATTCATTTTATTTGTGCCATACGCCATCTATCCTGTCTTTCATAAAGCCCATCCGTGCCCTTTCCTGTTGCCATGGCAAAAGTATTCGTTTTTGGTAGGTCGTTTTCATGACCGAGATCTCATGTGATTCATCTCTTAGTGATATCGTCTTATTTATTCTAACTTGGGGCTGTCCATGATCAAGAAAGATTTTAAAAACAAAATATATACATTTAACCCTCTCTGCGCCTATGTGACATCCTGGCTTCTCACTGTACCACTAAACGCCATTCCTTTCTTAAAGATCCTATTCGAATGACCATTTTCAATTACTTATCTATCTGGAACCGTAGCGTTTGTTTCTTTTTAATTATAACGAGGCTGGGATTGTTTAAAAAATATGTTTCCAAAACTTAGCTATAAATCAGTCGTTATCGTTCCTATGACTAAGCACAAGAGGCAAAATATTTTTGCCGAAAAGCAATTAATTCTGACAAATATACTCTATTTTATTCTGACATTGAAATGTTTTTTTATAATTTCCTTATTAGTGCACATGTTTGCATATATTATTCGCTCCAGCGAATTAGATAGAATGAATTGAATATTTCATAGTTGACTTGAGGGGTTATTTCAGCGGAGAATCAGTATCTCTCTATCATAGAAAGGACGTTAATTTCATAGAAAACGAGCACAATAAAAGGACTAAAAATCTTACTGTATTTTCTTGGCCAAAATATCTGATCCTAAACCATCTGCTTAGATTTGTATTCAGCCCAGCTATTTGTCCCAGAACTTCCTTAAGCCTCTCATTTCTTCGAAGCATTTGTACTTTTTGTTCTTTTCCCAAGGACCACAAGACAGTATTGTAGTCCATATCTTATTAATTACAAATTCTTTGTACGTAGCGGTTAATTAATTTGGAAAGGTTGTTGGAAAACAATTGTTTTATGAAAAATTCATGTCGCAATCCTCTGAAAATTAATTTATATCTTCCAGCAAGAAAAATTTTACCTAGCCTAGTTTTTTTAGAGTACACTAAACATGGACTCCACGTGATTAGTATTACTCCAAAATGCCTGCCTCATAACTGATCCAATAATAATCCATCGTTCAACTTTGATGTTCATTGAATTTATCGTAGGCTCAATCAAGGAAGGCCTGCTTCTTGCACACTTAGAATTTTTCAAATTCTTAAGTTTATTCCAATCGACCTGAAGGGGAGTGAGTAGTAACCGTTTACGCTACTCTGACCACAAAGTTATACTGGAGTGCAAATGAGGTAGGTGTAAGGAAAGTTGCGGAAGATCAGTATCAAAAGATTGCCCTGTAGGTATCATTAAAAGTGGATGGATACCTTTCACCTTCCGTATGAGCCACTATAATTCTGGGAAAGCACGAAATGTTCCCTGGGCTAACTCGCTGCTCCAACAAGTCAATTATAACTAGAATTTCACTTGATACGCAAATTTCGTCTGAGTTAATAGCACAAGCGAAATTTTGATAAATTTGACTAAGACAATTAGATCCGGCACATAAGGTGTGATTCAATTTTGGCTAGGTAAAATCAATTACGAGAGCGAAAAACGTGAGAATATAATTCTTCAAAATGCGACTACAAGTGGATTAGATGTCAAATAATGACTTTTTGATTGTACCAAAGAATAAAAACCAAAACGGCTCTGGAATTATTTGCAAACAAAGATATTGGTGCAGTGGCGACCAAAATGAGACAATTCTTGTTTTGTGTTTAGGAGCAAGGTGATTATGAAATTGATAGCCAGGACGACTGGATTTATTTCCATTAAACCAGCTTTTTGCACATGGGTCAGGCTTAAAGTGTTGATACAGAAAGA